ATACAAGAATCGTGAAACTTGTAACATTTCAATATAAAAACCTGTAGAAGATACAAGAATATACTTCCAGTTAATTCAAAGATATTACCCAAGATGCACAAGATTACATTGGCAGTCAAATAATATAAGGATACAATTTAAAACTAAAAGTGGAACCATCCATTATATTTTTTGTCATCCATATTTGAACTCACTGCATTGTGCCAAATCTTTTATTTTATTTTATTCAAAAGGTCATTATAGCTAGAGACGTGGAATTGATCAGTTTTGGATAGGTGCAAAGGAAGAAGAAGAAAGAGTGGCTCACACAAAAATACCCAAAAAAAATTTTAAGCTTAATTCACCAGAATGAGACCAATGAGGAAGCATCTACCAATTCACCAACTATTCCCACCCATTGAGCTTTCATTGCCTCTACCCGTAACCGTACCTAATTCGTTAATTAATTCATTTATTAATTCAAACTCCCGAATCCTAAGATTTCTAAGCAGTGCAATTGCAATGCCCTTATTCTTATTGCCTCTACTGTGTTCAATGTTCATTCTCTTTCTTTTCCGAATTCTTTGCATTCCAACACACTCCTTGTCTAAAATTATGAACTTATAAATTATTAAAAGATTAGGGAACAAAATTTGAAGATACACGGAGCAGTAAACAAGAATTAAAATAACTAAAATAACATTCAAAGTACCTAACATTAATGTTAAAATAACCGTAAAATTAAAAATAACAAAAATTTCTCAACAATATATAACCCAATCCACGTCTACAGTCACAAGTACAACCAAAAATCAGTAAAATAGAACTAAAATAGATGACGTATAAAATAAGGTTGACAAACAGTACTAACCTCGTGGATAGTAAAAGAAAGGTATTTGGAAAATGGCAACAACCTTTGTATAATGTGGGGCGCCTTCGTAGACTTTAACTTATGGCTCAAATGCTGCAAAGGCACGTGGAAGGAGAAATTCGTATAACGACAAAAAACTCGTTGGGGTCGGTGAAGGGGATAACTGTGTTGGGTCTTGATTAAAGAAAGTATTCTCGATTAAATAAAATTAAAAATTATCGACAAAAAAAAGGTGGACGAAAGCAGAGAACTTACGGCTGAGAGCGCTAGACGTCGACGAAAACGAAAATCAACAGATGAGGGCTGGACGAAAACAGAAAAGACTTACGGCTGCAGGAGAAGGTTACGGCTGGAGGGTTAAAAACCCTAATGTTTTTAAAACAATGGTTCAAAACGACGTCGTTTTGTGAATGTTCAAATATTTGGCTTTTAATGTCAGTTTTAAACCGACATTGTATAATGTATTTAATGTCAGTTTTAATTTAAATTGAAAACGACGTCGTTTTTCAATTTCCAAATTAAATTGTTTTAAAACGAAACATGGGCGCTTATTTTATTTTATTACCATGACGTTTTCTAACTGACATTAGTTTTGGGCTTTTAGTGTCGTTTTTCACCGACATTGTATAATGTATTTAATGTCAGTTTTAAT